CCTCTGACAATATCAAATAGAAAATTAATCAATAGCCATTCCTGACGTGACATATACGAGAATGTTTTTGCAACTGAAACTCGTGCACATTTAATTCAAAATATTTAGTTTTTACAAATTAAAAAGCAATGCAAATCACCTGAAAAAATGTTGGACCCCTCCCCCCCCCGACATATACACATAAACAATTCCTTCCCTCCCTCCGTTTTTTTTCCTTGTCAGAGTTTTTTTAAGGTAAGTTGATTTTTCTTCTCTGGTTCCCTACCCCCTCCTACTTTTGAAAACGAAAAGTATGTTTCTGATTTGACTAATTAAAAAGACGCAATAAATCTGCAGCAATACGACTTTTAACAGAAAGAAATCATGACTGTATTGAGAAATTAATGAAAAAAAATGTCAGTAGAAACTAGTTCTACATATCCATGGCCTTAGGAACCGGGGGGCACGGGGGCTTGTCAAGGAATTTTTTGTAGCTGATAGCGCCTCCCAACTGAAAATGTATGGCTGTGCCCCCTCCCCCCCAACTGAAATTGCTTCCTACGGGCCTGATATCAGTGAAAACTCTTCCTGTGTGTGCAGGCACATTTGAAGCATGCCTTAACAACTCAGTGAATCGGCGTAGTGCACTCGATGTCCTCAACTTATTCACGTTTTGAAAACTTTTTGTTAGTATACTTAATCACCTGTTTTTTTTTTAAATTTATTTATTGGTTTACAACAGGATATTAATATGATTTTTTTCCTTATAGATGACGCATTATAATTTCGATTACAGATTTTTTTAATGTAAGTATATTGGAGCTGTGATCGAAATTTACTCTGCGTGCTGTCAAGGTTACCCTTCACGTATGCAGTGTATCTTGTAATTTTATATTGTGACAAATAATGAATGATACAGAAAACAATAACGTAATGGAACATAACTTAAGTACAAAGAAAATTTAAAAAAAAAAACCAAAAAAAAAAAAAAAACACCCCACCCAAACACATAATTTGCAGCTTTTTATAATCCACATATCTATACAGATATTACATACCGGTATATAATGAAAAGCAGCCGAAAGATAAATTAGGGGAAGATCGCCATTTAATACTTCATCCAAGAATTTACTGAGTACCATATGAATGCTCGTTTATTTCTTTGAAGTGATATGAATACTAAAAAAAGGCCTACCCTTCCTTCTTTATGAATTAGTTACTTTTTCTTTTACTAGATACAGTATGGAAAAAAATTGTTTCCCGACCTAATGCATATGCAAGCATTGTCCCATTCTCCTTTTTTAAGAACCCTCTCTACACTGCACACTAAAGAGTTCAGATTCTGTGGTATTTTTCTGCAGGTAGAGTGAACTGCCCTTAGATCTGAATTCAAATAAATTGAAATATTCAGTGTATTACTCAATCTGTGATCAGTTCAAGCATTCTGAACATTTTAAAAGGCTAAGATAAATTAATTGGACACTTCATTTGCATATATTTTATCCACTGAAATAAACAACAGTGATTTCTGTTCATTGAAACTTTGCTGTCTTTGAACATTTTTCCTGGGGGTAAATGCCACGTACCATATATTGAAAATTCAATAGATAAGCTTAATATTTACACATGTATACAGTATAAATTTCTCAGTGTCCAAAAAACATTTTGCACTGGTGTATAGAGGGTCCTTAATATTGTAGTATATGAAAATTTGTATTTTATGTATTTTGTTAGATATAATGAAAACAGACATTTTATTCGATTAATTGAGCTTAGACCTCCTTTCCATCCTCAACACAAACATGTATTCGCGCCCTTTTTAAAAATAATACTTTTTCCAAAGTAGTGCCACCCATTTTCTGATCTTATTTTTAATGGTTGATTTCTGAAACGTTGGAAAACAATGCCAATTTATTGTCCATTGTGCTCTCTCTCTCTCTCTCTCTCTCTTACAAACACATAAATGATTAAATGTACACTTTTAATATAAGACACTATATACACTGTAAGCGCATCACCAAGTACCTTGTTGCCTCTGCACGGATTTATACAGGGTGTGAGTTTAGATTTTTTCATGCTATGAAACATAACTTTTCCCCCAAATGAAAACAGCGCACACTTGTATGCATAAGTATAATCACTGACGCATGACAAACGTGTTTTCTAATCCGTCTTAGGTATTATGGCGTATTTTCTTCTGTTTGTCTGCTTTTAATTACATTGTAAGTGATAATAGAAAATTAGACGGGAGTAATTATCATTTACAAAGTGATTAAAACACTATCCGTTCTATTATAAACATATACTTAATTGTCCCGATTTTAAACTTTATATAGGTGCAATAACTGGTCCCGAGAAAACTACCGAGATACGGGAAGTTAGGGCGAGTTACGTTCGTTCGTAAGATGTCGGTATTTCTCTTATAGGAGATAGGAAAACTAATACTATTTACAAGTCATGTCCAGCCCTAAGGTTCACAATATATCTTCAAGTTGAAAAAAATTCAAAACATTTGCTCTGTTTAACAAAATGCAAGCTGTATATTTGATATTATGTTTGAATTTTCACAGATAATGTTTATTATGTGGGTTACATGCACTTTGAATCTCATATGCACAAATGGTATTATACGGTAAGTCTTGCTCCAAGCGATTGTTTAAACAGGATTGTTATTGAAGACCATGTTTTTATTGTCAACAAACTATTTCACAATAGAACATGTACAAGAAGAATCACAATTTATTTCTACAGGCACATAGTACCGGGGTGGGATGGGGTGTTGCATGCCCCCCTTTTTTTCCAAACATAATCTTTTACTGTTGAAAATGTTCTTTGAAAGGCTGCTTCCCCCACATATTGTTGCAGTATAGTCAAGTATAGCCAAATCAGGGTAATGTGGTAATATATGATTAAACTTTGGTTGTAACTTAAGTTGGAAGCTATCCCCCCCCCCCCCCGAAAAAAAAAAGTTTGGACAATTCCCACCCTCCCCTTTTCCCTCCGCTTTCGCGAAAGCGAGGGGACATTGAATTTCATTCATCTGTCAGTCTGTCTGTCACAAAAACCTTTAACCTTGGTCATAATTTTTGAATGAGAAAAGATAAAGCTTTCGTATTTCACATGTACATTACCAATGACAACACCTTTTCAAACAAAATATGATTTTTGACTCCGTGACCTGAACGTTTGACCTACTTTTCAAAAAAAATCAAAAACTTTACCTTTGGTCATAACCTTTGAATGAGAAAAGATAAGGCTTTTTATACTTCACATGTATATTACCTGTGAGAAGACGTTTCCATATATATTATGATCTTTGACCCCGTGACCTTTAAGTTTGACCTACTATTCAAATTCAAAATTTTTAACAAACTTTAACCTTGATCATAACTTCTGAATAAAAAAGACAGGGTTTTCATATTTCACATCTACATAACCCGAGACAAGAACTTACCAAATATGCTATGATTTTTTACCCCGTGACCTTGACCTACTTTTAAAAATTTAACATTGCTTATACCTTTTGAATGAAAAAAAAGATAGGGCTATCATATTTTACTTGTCCACTACCTGTTACAAGACGTTTCTAAATATGCTATGATTTTTGACCCCGTGACCTTGACTTTCAAGTTTGAACTTATCTTCAAAATTATGTCTTTTGAATGAGAAATGATAGGGTGTTCATATTAGACAAGTGCGCATGCATTATTGTGTCAAAAAATTTCCAAGCGTGCTTTGATATTCGACCCTGTGACCTTGAAGTTTCACCTAATTTTCAAACATAATATCTTTGCTGATAAGTTTTGAGGGAGCAAGATAGGACATTCATATTTGACACGCGTATTACCTGTGACAAGCATTTTCAAATGTGCTTTTTAATCCCAAAACCTTGACCTTGAAGTATGACTTAATTTTCAAAAAATATTAACATTGCTGATAACTTTTGACTGAGAGAAGATAAGGCATTTACATTTGACATGTGCATTACCTCTCTCTCGACTTTTAGAATGTACTCTGGTTTTTAACCTTCTGACCTTGTTGTCCTTGAAGTTTAACCTAAAGCCTTTTTCAAATTAATTTTACATTGGTAAACTTTTGAATGAGAGAAGATAGGGCATCAAGATGTACATTAATATGACAACACCTTTCAAAATGATATTTCATTTTTTTTTATTTCATGACCTTGACCTAGAATTTTAACATACTTATCAAACATTTTAACTTTGGCTCCAGAAGAGATAAGGCTTTTCGTATTTTTTTCACATGAGTGCATCACCTGTGACAAGTTCTTTCGGATTATTTAATGATATTTGACCTCACGACCTTGATCTTGAAGTTTGATGCAGTTCTGAGAAGCTTTAATCTTCGCCATAGCTGTTATTAATTCAATAATTTATGTCTTTTTGTATGAGGCACAGACAAAACAGGGAGGACAATCAAGACAGTTACAATATGCTATAAATAATTGCATCCTAACCACTAGACACCGAAAGTGGGGGACCACAATTCTTTGAATTTGCTGGATTGGTCAAAGTTTCCCAGTTAAGTTGTCAGTTTTTTTCTAGCTGCCCCTCCACCCCTTCCCCTTCAAAAACAATACTACGTGCCTGTCCTGATTAATATGAAACTTTGCATTAATCATAAGAATATACATATTTAGCACAGAAAAGGAATCCAGCTCCTAAGTACTGTTTAAAAGGAATGCTTTACAAAATATATAAATATATAGAAATTATCGATCTCTTAGCTGTTAAAGGTAATGCATTGTAAAAGTGGAATCCAGCTCCTTGGTACAATTTTAAAAGCACTCTGGTAGCTGCCAGGAAAGAGTTTTTTCCATTGCTGAGATTATTTATCATTTGTGGAAAACAAAACAAAAACCTACACTACACGGTTTTAAATGATGAACGAAAGCATGGTTGACAATGCTTTTTCAACAATGTATGTACTTATTAATTAATAAACATTTTTTTTATGAAATATAGCGATGAAATATCCGCTCTCATACAACAAGAATCAAATTAAAGAGACAACAGAATGACAGAAAACAGAGACAAAAAAGGCAAAATTTCGGCCACTATAGGACCAGCTGCATTGTCTCCATCAACAACATTTGGTAGGACTACCCTGTTCGTAGTGGAGATTGGTGCTCGAGTAGCTGTATCGATTGTTGTAGATCTGCATCCCTCAGGGGAACATTGTGGGCAGTCTGAGGGTCTGTTTGGATTATCTGGGGCACATTCTGGCCGATGTCCTCCACCACCACCGGGACCCGAGTTCACACAGTGACAGAGATAGTATTCGTATCCGTAGTTTTCCATGTTCCAGTCTAACAAAATACGAAAATTTCATTTGTTTGCAATAAAAGCAAATTGCATGAATAGAAAAAACAAAAAATATCGACACAAATAAATTTTTTCCTGCTTAGATAGCGGGAATTAGTAAATGTGGATCATAATTTTGAAAATTTATTGAATACTTGTAAACTCTAAAGATTTAATCAAAACACTCACGTGATATGTTTGTAGTACAATTGTAAGAAGTAATAGTTCCTTGATTAACAACAAGTCCTTTGAAACAACCGAGATAATATGGAAATTTCTCTGTAACATAATATCTGTAACTTCCATTGACAAATTTCCCATGACACTTGTCCAATTCAGCTTCAGAAATGTTCTTTGACAGTCCAACCCTTGGTCCATAGATAGGAAAACCATCCAAAGCCACTCCAATGAATTCATCAATTTCTCCTTTATACAAACAACTTTCTGGTATTTTATGATAATGATAAGCGCCATTTGGACTTGCATGTCCATCACATTGATCAAAAGTTTCGGGATTTGATCCCTCCACAGCGTTTGTTAACTCGCCTGCCAAAGGGTTGTAGATGGCCACACCAGTTCGTGTAATCCCAATCATTCCCAGACCCACACATCCCGGCACTGGTACAATTTGGGGATTTTTTAAAATCGTAATGTTGTAGTTCTGAGCTGTGGGAGTGTTTGGGTTGACTCTCTGTGTCTCATGGTCCGGAAGACCGCTCGCCGAAATGTGAAATCTAGTGAAAAGTTATGTACAAATGTTTTCCAATGCATCCAGATTTCTTACTCGTCACGAACAAAAAAGGCAAATAATTTCTTATTTCGATATTACACTGTATATCTTTATGCAGGAATTAGGAAAAGAATTCAATGCTTTTGGTTTTTAATATGCTATAAGCAATATATATATAGATAGTAATAAATAATGTACATTTTACTGGCATGGTCATATTGCCAACATGTTCATCTAATAGGCCGTATTTTAAAAGTTATTTTGAATCCTTCTCTCCCCTTTACTTTCTTTTTGTGTGACTATTGTGTATTTTCTACGGAAATATTTAGTAAAGAAAATGAATCACTACAAAAATGGTTTTCTTGTATAAGAAAGAAATGATTCATATAAAACTTACAAGATCGGGTCATCGGTGTGAACTCTGACGGATGCTCCATGCTTTGAACTCGCCGTGAATTTTGAGATTTCTTCCCTCGTCAGTCCATGTACTTTAAGAAATATACGTTAGAAAATTTACAAAAAAAATATTCCTACAATTAAAGTCAGAAATTGCCTTTGTGTTCGACATATAAAGAAACCAATTTTTCTTTTCTTAAAAAATGTTATCGCAGAATGTTTGATTTCTAAAACCTCTGTTATTATATGAATTTTGCTGTTTTGAGGTAAAAACAATGATTCAGCCACCTGAGGAGTATATACCGAGCGAAAAGGGTGAGACGAATATTGCACTTTGAGAGTGACTTAATCATCATTATATTGACTCAAAAAACAGCAATAATTGTTTTATTATATGATTCAATGATTAAATGATACTAACTCATTTAGCAAACCTTGGCAAGTTGCTTTTTTTTTTTAGATTGTTTATATTTGATGAAATCCTAATCAACACAGCGAGATAAACCCTGACCAGTTGTATTAATTTGGAATTTCTTGATCTAATTTTCATGCGATATAGAAATAATAATTGTTATGTTATATAACATTTCATAACTCTATAAATTAAGAGGTTCTTTATTTTTAGTCCAATAAAAGAAAAAAATAAATTAATGTTATGTTCATTTGGTACTTAAGGTCTTGCAAGTAAACATAACATTTAAAGAACGAGTGCACTTATGGGCCCCGGTGAAATGTGAAAAAATGAAGAATCAAATTAAGCATAATTTTTCATCTCAGATCATTAATTGATATCTAAACCATAAAATTCAACAAATTTTATCGCTGAAATTCATGAATATACAAAGAGCAAAGCCATACAATGTGGTAGTGGTCAGTCGACATTCGTGATTTTCTATAGTAAATCGAGGATGGGTATTCATTTCAAAGCTTTTGTTTACTGTCAGCCTAACGTTGTACAAACTTGTGCGAATGACAAAAAGCGCAATATATATTTATAAAACTTGTGTGAAAGTAGGAAATTTGTACACGATTAGGCTTGTACTTAAAACATTAAAAATGTATGAAAAGTTCAATGTTTTTCCTACAGCAAGCGAGAGCTATTTACTTGTATGACCTATGTTGAACCCACCCGTGGAATAAATTATTTAAAATACTGGTAGCCACGTGAGTTCTACCCGGGTAAACATTCCTCAAAGGTGCTCACTGTAAAAGATAGCCACGTTTCGTATCATTATATCGAAGTCGTAAGTTTGTATGTTTTGGTTTAAGAAACACGAGAGGGTTAGGAGAGTTTTGTGTCGTTAAAATGTCATCATACATAAAAGCGTTAAAAATTTTTAACATTCACGTAAGACAATGATACCGGTATTTAAAGCCACCTAAATACACTTTTTTCATTTTAAAATTTAAAGGAACTAATGGTAATACTTACTGTATTATTTCAAACGCAAGCATGCAAATTTCTTAGTTTGATCACTATGGCTTCAGGCATCTATACAACTTCATTTTTTCTCAGGTAAAATAGCGCAAGAAGTATCATTCGGCAAACGCGCCCGTGAATGATCTACCATCAGATTGTTCAAGTGTCCGATTTAAATGTCTCCTCCCCTTGATTTGAATAAAACGAAACTCAAAATAGGATCGGTACGACTTTTCCAGATTTGGGGTAGCTATAGGCTTAAAAAATCTTCATTTGTTTCAAATCCATGCTGATTTAGGTGATGTTTTAACGTGATTTTAATTAGAAATATCCACTTGTGTTTAACTATTACCAAAAAGAACAATTTGGTAATATATTCTAAAGTAAAACGGCACTGAAAAAGGGCCCATTAAGCATTGCTTAAGTGCACTAGTCCTTTTAGAAGTTCTCAATTTATATGTAGTCAAATTAAAAAAAAAATGTTATGTTCACATGGAAGGGCGCGTGCAGGTCAACATAACTTGAGATGATTTCTACAATGTTGGATTTTAGCTAATCAGAAAGCTAGGAATTATTCAATCACATAATGAACAAAATTAATAGAATATAATTGCATAACCGAGTACGATATTGTTACATTGAAGTATACGGCAATGAATGCATATTGATACAACTTTAAGTGCGAGTGTTTAGAATACTTAAAATGTAATTATAATTAATCAAATAACTAATTATGATTGTTATTGTTTAAAGCCGAGTCGGCAATATTTCAGCCTGATTAACAATGGACTTAATATATAATATAATTATATATATAGTAAATATATGTATTAAATATATGTAAATTATGAAATTTGATTTAAAACATCATGAATAAAGGAAGTCTACATTGTTTAGTACCTTTTGAGTTAGAGGTGGTGACATTCTCCATTGGGGGACGAGTAGCCGTTTCCATTGTTGTTGATCTGCATCCCTCGGGAGGACATTCCGGGCAGTCTAGAGGTCTATTTGGATTATCTGGGGCACATTCCGGGCGACGTCCTCCACCTCCTCCACCGGGACCAGAGTTCACACAGTGACAAAGATAGTAATCGTAACCATATTTTTCCATATTCCAGTCTAAAAATATTAAGGAATATAAAAACCAGTCATCTGTCTCTTGTGGCAGCAAATTTTGCCTAGTTAAATAATGCAAATTATTCGTAAGATTGAATTTTAATTTTGAAAATTTATTAAACATATGTCAACTCTACAAAACATACTTACGTGATGTGTCTGTAGTACAGTTGTAAGAAGTAATAGTTCCTTGATTAACAACAAGTCCTTTGAAACAACCGAGATAATATGGAAATTTCTCTGTAACATAATATCTGTAACTTCCATTGACAAATTTCCCATGACACTTGTCCAATTCAGCTTCAGAAATGTTCTTTGACAGTCCAACCCTTGGTCCATAGATAGGAAAACCATCCAAAGCCACTCCAATGAATTCATCAATTTCTCCTTTGTACAAACAACTGTCTGGTATTTTATGATAATGATAAGCGCCATTTGGACTTGCATGTCCATCACATTCATCAAAAGTTTCGGGATTTGATCCCTCCACAGCGTTTGTTAACTCCCCTGCCAAAGGGTTGTAGATGGCCACACCAGTTCGTGTAATCCCAATCATTCCCAGACCCACACATCCCGGCACTGGTACAATTTGGGGATTTTTTAAAATCGTAATGTTGTAGTTCTGAGCTGTGGGAGTGTTTGGGTTGACTCTCTGTGTCTCATGGTCAGGAAGACCGCTCGCCGAAATGTGAAATCTACAAGTTATGTACAAATGTTTTCCAATGCATCCAAATTTCTTACTCGACACTAACAAAAAAGGCAGATAAATTCTTACTTCGATATTGTATCTTTATGCAAGAATTAGGAAAAGAATGCAATGCTTTTCGTTTTAAATATGCTATAAGCAAATTGATTCGATGTACATTGTAATAAATAATGTACATTTTACTATCATGGTCAAATTACCAACATGTTCATCTAAAAGACCTTATTTTAAAAGTTATTTTGTATCCTTCTCTATCTTTTATTTTCTTTTTGTATGACTATTTGTATTTTCTATGGAAGTATTTAGTAAAAAAAAGAAATGACCTGAGTCACTACAGAAATGGATTCCTTGCATAAGAAAAAAATGATTCATTTAAACCTTACACTCTCGGGTCATCGATGTGAACTCTGACGGATGCTCCATACTTTGAACTCGCCGTGAATTTTGAGATCTCTTCACTCGTCAGTCCATGCACTTTAAGAAATATGCGTAAAAAATTTACAAAAGAAATATTCCTACATTTAAATCAGGAATTGCTTTTGTGTTCGACAATATAAAGAAACTTATTTCTCTTCCGTAATAAAAAATGTTTTAGCAGAATGTTTGTTTTCTACCACCCCTGTTATTATATGAATTTTGCTGTTTTTGAGGTTAATACAATGATGCAGCCACCTGAGGAGTACATTTACCGAGTCCGAAGGGTGAGATGAATATTGCACTTTGAAAGTGACTTAATCATCATTATATTGACAAAAAAAGCAATAATTGTTTTATTATATGATTCAATGATTAAATGATACTAATTCATTTAGCAAACCTTGCTTTCTAAAAATTGTTTACATTTGATGAAATCCTAGTCAATACAGCGAGAGAAAGGAGATTAAAATAAGCAAAACCAGTTATATTAATTAGGGATTTCTTGATCTATTTTTGGGGCGATATAGAAAAGATAATTGTTATGTTCACCTGAAAGTCGGGTGTAGATAAATATAACATTTCATGACTATAACTCTATATAGTAAAAGGTTTTTTTTTTCTTTTTAGTCCAATAAAAGAAAAAATAAATTAATGTTATGTTCATTTGGTATTTAAGGTCTTGCAAGTAAACATAACTTATTTAAATTTTAGAAGTTCTCAATTTATATTAAGCCAAATGTAAAAAAAAATGTTGTGTTCATATGCAAGGGCGCCTGCAGGTGAACATAGCTTGGAATGATTCCTACAATGTTGGATCTTAGCTTATCAGAAAGCTAGGAATTATTCAATCACATAATAAACAAAATTAATAGAATATAACTGCATAACCTAGTACGATATTGTTATATACATTGAAGTATACGGCAATGAATGCATATTGATACAACTTTAAGTGCGAGTGTTTAGAATACTTTAAAATGTAATTATAATTAATCAAATAACTAATTATGATTGTTATTGTTTAAAGCCGAGTCGGCAATATTTCAGCCAAATGAACGATGGACATGATGAATATATGTAAATTGTGTAATTTGATTTAAACCATCATGAAGAAAAGAAATCTACATTGTTTAGTACCTTTTGAGTTAGAAGTGGTGACATTCTCCATTGGGGGACGAGTAGCCGTTTCCATTGTTGTTGATCTGCATCCCTCGGGAGGACATTCCGGGCAGTCTAGAGGTCTATTTGGATTATCTGGGGCACATTCCGGGCGACGTCCTCCACCTCCTCCACCGGGACCAGAGTTCACACAGTGACAAAGATAGTAATCGTAACCATATTTTTCCATATTCCAGTCTAAAAATATTAAGGAATATAAAAACCAGTCATCTGTCTCTTGTGGCAGCAAATTTTGCCTAGTTAAATAATGCAAATTATTCGTAAGATTGAATTTTAATTTTGAAAATTTATTAAACATGTGTCAACTCTACAAAACATACTTACGTGATGTGTCTGTAGTACAGTTGTAAGAAGTAATAGTTCCTTGATTAACAACAAGTCCTTTGAAACAACCGAGATAATATGGAAATTTCTCTGTAACATAATATCTGTAACTTCCATTGACAAATTTCCCATGACACTTGTCCAATTCAGCTTCAGAAATGTTCTTTGACAGTCCAACCCTTGGTCCATAGATAGGAAAACCATCCAAAGCCACTCCAATGAATTCATCAATTTCTCCTTTGTACAAACAACTTTCTGGTATTTTATGATAATGATAAGCGCCATTTGGACTTGCATGTCCATCACATTCATCAAAAGTTTCGGGATTTGATCCCTCCACAGCGTTTGTTAACTCGCCTGCCAAAGGGTTGTAGATGGCCACACCAGTTCGTGTAATCCCAATCATTCCCAGACCAACACATCCCGGCACTGGTACAATTTGGGGATTTTTCAGAATCGTAATGTTGTAGTTCTGAGCTGTGGGAGTGTTTGGGTTGACTCTCTGTGTCTCATGGTCAGGAAGACCGCTCGCCGTAATGAAGAATCTACATTAGAAAGTTTGTTTATTAGATTCAATGTTATTTCTCATACGCACATAAAACCTTATCTTTTTATTCAGATCAATGTGTGTATATTTTCTCTAAAAGTAAATATTTTTTGCAATATAATTATGATTACAACAGAAAACTTCCAAAATGCCATTTTATTAATTTACGTTTAATTTATTCTCCTTCATGCAGTTATTCGCATCAATATACACCTTTAGTTCTTTTGCCCAGAAAACAACCTATTTTCTTAATATGAAGTGCATATTTAAATTGTAAATGAGTAATTTAAAGGCTTACACTCTGGGGTAATCAGTATGAACTCTGACTGATGCTCCGTAAGAAGAACTTGCCGAAAATTTTGAAATTTCCTCTGTTGTCAATCCCCGGACTGAATGAAAACAGAATTTCTTTCAATTATCACAATAGCATAATTTGATAATATACAGTCTAGAATAGTAAAGTGAATGGATGTCACATAGTATAACCTTTTAAGAAAATAAATTGAGCAAAAAAAGTTTAACACTTGAAATATTGAAAATAACACATACTAAAGGATTGAATTGTGGGGTTTTCATCACATAACGAACTTCGACAAATCGACAATCTTGTGCAATTACATAAGATAGAAATAAAATTGAAAAGGGGTACGGGATATAAAATCACATTCAATTTCATTATTTTGTATCAATTCGCAGCAATAACAGCCATAGGACGGCATCTCATTCTTATAGATTTTCTTATCTCAAGCATGGTGAACTGGTTCCACTCGCGCTGCTGAGCAAGAGCTTGTTCCGATACGTTGTTGACGTTATGTCTCTGTCTTAAACGTCGACTCGACCAATAATGTCTATAACGTATTAAAATTGTGACAAATTTGCCGATCTCACAGGTCAAACCAAGATCTCAACATTATTCTTTTGGAGGACGTCTTATGTTGTATGGGGTGCAGATGAGAGTTGTCTTTGAATATGCTCGTATTTCCTCGACGCACAAGGAAATAACAAACTTAAGGAACGAGGATATAATTACAGTATGAACTCTTAGAATCTGATATTCAATTTTTGTCAAAAGGTCAGTTTTACCCAGTTGGCTTATATTTTACCCCAAAAAATAACACTACCGCCACCGTAGCAGTCACGTTCGATGATTTTTCTGGGTCATTATCTCTCATTTTCTTGTCTACTAACAAGAACTCTTCCATCTGCAAAATCGACGCTAAATAGTATCTCATCAGTACACAATACAGTACCAACCAGACTCAACCTGACATCTAAGCAATCCCAGAAAGCAGTCCCCGGGACTGCTTTGGGACCGCTGTGGGACTGCTCTGGGACCGCTAGGGACTGCTGTGGGACTGCTCTAGAAAGCAGACCCAGCCGTCCCAGCAGTCCCTGGGACTGCTTTCTTGGACTGCTTTGTTCACTCGTGCGTGAAAAAGGTTCTGAGTGACAAGATAGCTCCGTCCCTTGTGTATTCTGAATTTGCAGGCTCCCTGTTGTTGTTTTGTTTACTTTCTGCAGAGAGGTGTTTAAGATAAAAATAATTAAAAAAAAAACAAGTATTTCTTACAAAATTTAAATAAGTAGAGATAGTTATGCATGTAATAAGTAAATGTCTTCAGGGGCTGTAAATTTACACAATTGTAGTCTAGAATTAATTTTTAAAAAATGATAGTAGTTAAAAAGGGAAGTCAGGGGATGATTCTTATCCCTAGAATTAAACTTCAATACAGGTATTTTAAAAAAAATTATCTAGGCCTATTTGATAAATTAATACTATTAAATTATGTACTCAAAGTTTGCATTAGCACTATTAAAAAAAGACCCCCCCCCCCCAAAAAAAAAAAAAAACAAACAAACAAACAAACAAACTTGTCATTTCAGTAAGATATTCAGAGGGATGTACAGTACTGGATTTTTTCTTAATTGAAAAAGCTACATGTAATACCATGCTTAAAAGAGTACTCCATGCTATTTTTTACCGCCCTCAAATAAAACCTAATAATTTATTAATGACCATGAAATAAAATTATTCTACCATTCTTCTTTCACATAAACAATGTGAACAATTATTGGGGGATTTATTTATGAATTAGTTTTTAATTTCTAAACAAGTTATTAAAAGAGTACATTTGTTTAAAAAATAAACATATGAAAATATCGGGAGTATGGACTTATATCTTATTTGTTTTGTTTGCGTTTACCTGGCCGATTAAATAAAAAGCAATACAATATGGTATAAAATGGTGTCAACACCTGAGGTTTCAATCGCCTTTGGGCATAATTAGCAGAAAGTCAATGCAAATTACTTTGGTATCAGTGTTACACATCACTGAACACGCTGGTCAACAATGACACTAATTTCAATCTACATGTATGTACTGCAAAAAAATCTTTGTTTCAATAATTGTATATAAATTTATTTCGGGACTAATTAATTTTCAATATAATCTGAGGGTTCCATTCGCGTGATTTACAGATGTACACTTGAACATCTATATAATAAAACACTTAAAACTGAGAATCTAATAATAAAATTGGCAAGTCATTCAAAATAATCATGACTGAAATATAATACTCGGTAAAATTTATCAAAGAATTTTTCAAATGCTCCAAAACTTAGGAATATGCATTCAGAGTATAGTATGGAAACTGGCCTTGCTCTATAAGATCTATTTAAAGCTAATTCTGGTAGAAAATAAACAATTCAAATTTAATTTTCTATTTAAAAAAATGATTAAATTCTAAAACCAATATCAATCACAGAAAATAAAGACATTGATTTATTCTGGTGAAAAATTAATATATTAAATAATTGTGTTGAAATAATCATGTTAATAATGGGTGTGAATGTCTTCTTCGTTCAATAATTATTATTTATTTCTATACGCGTACTGTAATTTTCTTAGCAGTTTAGAAATTACTGTCGTGTAAGTATTTGTTGATACTACTCAGAAAGAAATGATCATCAATTTCAACTGCCTTTTATAGTTACATTCTTTATTGATAATCTCATTTCTGAGTATGCTCCGCCCATTAAATTAATTAACCCCGCCCACTGGGACTGCTGGGACCGCTTTCTGGGACTCCTGGGACTGCTTTCTGGGACCGCTGGGACTGCTGGGACCGCTATGGGACTGCTGTGGGACTGCTCTAGGACCGCTCTGGGACTGCTCTGGGACCGCTCTGGGACTGCTTTAGCAGTCCCAGAAAGCAGTTCCCGGGACTGCTCTGGGACTGCTTTGTGTCGGGTTGGGTCTGGTTGGTACTGTACCTCATTTTATTGTCATTGCAATCCAGCGATGATGATTGTTCGCCCATGCAAGGCGAGATTGTGGATGACGTTGAGTTACTGGTACTGCAGTGAGAGGCCTTCGAATTCGAGCTCGTCAATTTGCGGAATGTAGCCCGTTTGTTTAACTTGTACATAGCGCTTTAACTCCACATGTTTAACCTCACTCTAGTAGCACGGCAATGTTACTCGTCTGGAACCTGAGGAGCAGCCTGAAACAATCTCGACGTTGTAACAATAGAACCTTACCTTACCTGAGCGCTGCCGATTAGTTACATAAATAAGTGTTCCGAAATTGGTTTAAAAGTCGGCATACAGTGGACGGTGCACATTCAAGTGTTGGACAACGTCTTTTTTGTGAGCAGCCAACGGTTTGTATCCCTTTAGCCAGTTGACTCTCCATTCTCAGAAAATCCTGGTCGTTTTCCCATTAGTCTTTTTTGCAATTTCTCACTGGATTTGTTTTACAAGGGCGGTCCTGAGAAGATTTCTGAGAAAATTCATCCCAAACCGTGGGCATTCGAGCATAACATTTTATTGTTGAATTGTCACTACGTTTGAAGACATGGTTCCCGAGAGTCAAAAGTTTAAAAACATATTTGTCTTTTATAACCTTTATATCAATTACATGTAGTTTTAGATAAAACATAAAAAAACTTTCAAGAAAAATATTTTAATATTATACCTATGTGAAAAATGCTTAACTTATTTTGCTCAGTATACATTTCACCTTGAAATGGTTTAAATGATCATCTATACGTTATGTTGATATTTGACCAAGTATCCAAGTCTTTCTCAACTATACCACGAACATTATACATGTTTTAATGTTATAAACTGTCAGTTATAAGCAAAATATATTAAAAAAAAGATTACATAAATTCGCTTCAAACACGGAATGTTAAACCGTAATTAACCTACATTGTGCATTGTCTGTTGAGGCAGATGTGACATTCTCCATAGGTATACGTGTAGCTGTATCCATCGTTGAGGACCTGCATCCCTCTGGTGGACATATTGGGCAGTCTGAGGGTCGGTTAGGATTTTCAGGTGCACATTCAGGACGTGGTTGACATTGGATAGGTTGGTACCAGTGCATTAGCAATGCAACGAATACGAACACTATGAAGTTTACCATGGTTCCTTTAGTTCTTTAAGAATCATTATACAAAAAACTTTTATTTTACATTTTCAGAATAGACTACACTTAACTTTTTTATTTGATGAATTAATTGTATCACTTTGTTTTCAAATTAAAACTTTTCAAACTAAAATTGAGACAAATAATGTCAAATATTAATAAAAATAACATTTTTCCACATTCACAAGATGTAAAATTAATAATGATAAGATTATATACGAGGGGTGATCAAAAAGTTTGCGAACTAACCCTATATTTACAAAACCACAATTCTTATCAAAACGAAATTTGGCACACATATAGACATATACATGTTCTATAAATAGCAGATGTCATGTAAAGTTTTGCTACATGTTTGTGACGTCACAATGTAAAAATGACGTCAATATGTAGATGACCTATGATAAAATATGGTTGACTCAGTCGTACTCGAGGAACAAATAGCTGTAAAGTTTAACGTATATCTTGGAAATTCCTTTGCAGTAGCATATAATAATTTGTACAAGGTTTATGAAGACAAAAGGCTTGCCAGAAGTTTAATCATTAATTTGATTGATTGTTTTAGTGAAGAAAGGGAAAAGAGATGTGTCCTTAGTTGAGCAATTTGTTATGAAAGATCGCCAATTTACAATTAGTAAAATAGTTGAATATCTTAACAATAATATAATTATCAAATCCTGAAAATATCGTTTACTTTGGACTTTAAACATATCAGATATGATGAAAAGAAGGCACCCATACTTTATCCACAGTGGATAAACGACGCTACCTAGACAGAGGAGTCGGGTGGTGATGATCACCATGCTCATTCTGGGAAAGGATATTCTTATCCACCCATCCTATTTCCGAGATTTCGCCATTTCTGACAAATAGGCTGTTCTTGTTATAAAAAATAACTTACATGGTAGTAAATATGAGACTCGAAAAAATGCTTTAGCTTTTGTGAACAGAACGCTATGGAGCATATCACGTGACCGCCTGGATCACGTAATTCGCGCATGGGCAGAACGATGTGCATTAAAATTGGAAAGGACTACTTTAAAAAATAATGAACACTGAAACCTGATTTTATTTCTTATATGGAAGCAATTCAATTAGTTCGCGAAATTTTTTATCACCCCTCATACATGTATTTCAGAAAGTTTTTAAAGATATTTTGACATGTATTTTTTTCAGTGAAGTTCTGCTTAATAGAAACCCTGAAACATTTTGTGCATATGTCTATTCAATTGCCACTTAAGATTTCTTTTAATAAAAAAGAATTCATTTAAAAATGTCATGGCACAATTATTTTTATTCCTCAAATTCACCTTTATCTGACATTGACCCACATAACTGCTATACGCAGCATTGCAAAATAAATTTTATTTTGGGGAGGTCACCTTTAAGTTATAAATGCCTCAAGGATATGACTGAAATGTTTAATTTCTATATGCGGTAAACAAATCTGGTCATTTTCGCAGTAATAAATATGCTAGTAAGAAAACCCTTATTGATATTATTAGGCCTGGGTACATTTAAAACGAGTTAGTGTGTGCATTGTTAACTAATCCCCTAAAAGCATGGGTTGAATCTTATCTATTGCTGTTTCAAGAAGTGCATTTTTTCAGAAGTAAAGGAATGCTAAAACAATCTATGATATGTCACACTGCATGTATTTTTATCGCCAAAAATAAATTATGTCTTTGAAAACCTAATTATCTACAGAGAAAATAAAATCTTTTTTGTTTTGTTAAGTGTATAAATATATAAATACGTACATTAATTAGATAGTACATTTTCCTTACCTTATATCAGTCAGAAGATGTACCGGTTGATCATTCAGTTGTATTACATTTATGGATGGAATTCATGTTGCAGCTCAGCTTTTAGAAAGTCAACACTGCATACATTCCTATTTCTTTTAATAGTAGATCACGATTTTCCGACAGAGAATCAGTTGGCCATGTCCATTTAACAGCAGTCCCCGTGAACGGATGGATTTCATTTTTTAAAAAAAATCTAGTATCTATTTATAGCTGAGCGTGATTTTTAAAATAAAAGATTTTACTTGGGGTAGATTTATAACGTGATTAAAATCCCATGCTTGTATTAGGAATTCAGTATGATTCAAGCCTACGGTGTGCATTGCACATAAATGCTGCTATGACCTGAAATGATTCTCAAAACATGAGTAACTACTTTCTTTAAATCTTAACAAATATAAAAGTAAAAAATGGAAAAAAAAAAAACTACATTTTATATACAGGTTATCTGGATACATGAAATAACCTTTTATTATCTCTATATTGTGTATCCAAATCCACGTCTAGAAAAATAACAAGATAATAACAATTACTTTGAGAATACTTTGATAATTGCAGTTTCTTTTACCATTGCGGTTTTGTATAACAGTTATGTGAAATGATTTGCACACAAATATTTAAACTAACTGATGTCGAGATATTTTTTTTTTTATTTTAAACCCTTTTGATGTTATTCCATATACAGTGTATAACCTCAAAGACTATTTGAAGCAAAAACATTGTCATATTGAAGTGAGTTTATTTGAGACGTAATTGAAATTAGGCTATGTACATCTAATTGTGGCATTTGAATTAATATCGAATGAGAAAGATACTTATCAGTTTAAGATTGAATTATTTGGGAGTTTAGGGTATATATAGATTGAAGCACATAGTAATTCTTGCATATAGGATTGCAACATTTCTACGTATAGGCCTATTTTCAAATGTACTAAAACCTCTCAAATATAGATATTTTTCCTCGATCACAGGTCATTCATACTCTCTCCTTTGATGCAATATATATATATATATATATATATATATATATATATATATATATATATATATATATATATATATATATATATATATATATATATATATATATATATATATATATATATACTTTTACATTTATAAAACAAGAAGCAAAGAATATGATTCAAGAATCTTTTTAATGACTTTCTTTTTGTTTATGGCTTTGTTTATTGAAACAATTTTATTAAGATGATCTTGTCGCCCGCGTGGCGCAGTGGTTAGAGTGTCTGCTCTAGAGTCGAGGCGTAAGGAGTCGATCCTTACGTCGCGGGTTCGAATCCCACTGTGGGACGTGGAGACCGGTCCTTCGGATGAGACCGTATAAACCGAGGTCCTGTTGTCGCAGTAGGCGCTGGCACGAAAAAGATCGCTCACTGCTCAATGGCCGTAAGTGCCGAGTATAGGACAAAATTTGCAGCTCTCCACTGGCAAGTGGTGGCGTCTCCATATGAGTGAAAAATTCTCTTGAGGGACGTTAAACAACATACAAACAAACAAAAAGATGTTCTTCATGCTAAGTTATAATTCATGAAATATGGAGATAACGAACAGTGATCAAGCTCAAAAGTCCTTTATATCAGTACATATCGGGAGCAGAGAAAACAAGGAGCTTTAAAAACGTCAGAGATGGGATCAGGTGCCATGGAGGAGTGAGCATCCCCTGATGAATTGTTATGATCGTGAAAAATTCGAAAACAATTCATTTTTTAAATAACGGCCTTACAATAAGTATGAAAAACGTCAGTCAGCATTTGAATTAATTAAAGATAGGTTGCATTTGCTGACCAGGTCATTGTTTCGACCATAAAACTTGCGAAATGATGACTTAAAACGAGACTGTTGATATCCTTGTTTCATCAATTTTTTGTCAATAGCTTACCTCGTTTTAGAAATTGTTCATACATAGAGCATATTCTAATTGCGTATCGAATCAACTGGGATACAAACACCCTATAAGCAGGTTATAAGGGTATATTGCTACATATATAAGGGAAGTTGACGATTGAAAAATTGAAATCGTCACAATTATTATAAAGCTTTGTTGTTACCATTAAAGCCTTTTTCTAGTAAAATATCCAAATATAAAACAGATGTGTCAGACTCTGTGGTATCTTAAATAGTGATATAGTTTTACTGAGTTAAAGTTGAATAAGTCGCCCATATTAATAAGTTGTTATATTCTGGCAGCTACCAGGAAAGACTTTTACATTATATCAAGGATTTCACTATTATAATGCACTATCTTTAGCAGCTAGGGATTGGTAATGACTATATTTTTATATATATTTTGTAAAGTATTCCTATTTGACAATACTTTAGAGCAGAATTCCTCTTTTATACTACATATATATATTCTCATGATTTACGCGAGGACAACGAAAAAAAAAGAACACTTAACTCTGACACTTTACAGACATAACGTTGGTGAAAAGTGTATGGAATTTTACAACAACACTATAGATACTTTATATAATCTATTGCCGGGATTGAAACAAAATGAGGTAAAGAAGGATAATTTTTAATCAGCATTTTTGGGAGTACAAAATCCCTATGACATTTTTTAGCATTAACTATATTTATACAAAGAATATTTTTATGTGTGTTCAGCTAACACAAATACTAAAGACACTTTACTTAAGGAAAATATAAAATACTATAACTGTTCTATTCTAACTTCTAGTATATAACACAAAATTTTATATGTTGAATGCTTTTCATGAAGAAGTACTATATAGTTAATAATGAGGACCTTAAATCATTTATTTTAAAAGGGCAAAAATTTAACGAACCCAGGATCTTTCAACTGGCGTCATAATTTCATAAATATTATGAATTCTGCATGTGGAAGATTACGTCAGGCGATGAGCAAAACATGAAAAAGAGGATTTTAACTTTGTCAAAATGGATTAAAAGTATAAGATGGATGTTGAGATCCTACATTAAGCGGTTGAGGGCAATGTGAAAATTCACAAGTGATAAAAGAATTAGATAGATTACGCGATCAGTATGTACTGGTCTCAGCTGACAAAGCAGGTAACAACATTGTCTTCGTAATTAAGGCTCATTATTTGCTGTATTTTACAGGAACTGGGATATAATTCTGAAAGATACCAATTTCTAAGAAAGAGTCCCTTTCTAAGGAGGGAATTCTTCAAAATTATATGTCAGTTTTAAACAT